CACGGTGGGCTGCATGGTGGTGGTGTCCCTTCTCAATGTTCTGTGTTGAAGCCCTGACCCCCCGCGTGGTTGTATTTGAGGTGGGCCCTCTAAGGAAGGGCCAAAGGTTGAGCGAGGTTGTGAGAAGAGCCCTGAGGTGACAGGGGTAGTGTCCTGATGAGAGGACAGCACGCGAGGACGGGCTGTGTGGGGACCCAGGGACAGAGGCCTGACCAGAAAGCAGACCTGCTTGCGCCCGGATCTGGACTTCCAGCCTCCAGGACTGAGGCTCAGGTGCCATCGGCCACGTGCCGTGGCAGCAGCCGAGCCGAGTCAGCGAGTCCGCGTTCCCGTGATGCGTCTCTGAGAAAGTCTTTCGGAAAAGACACCCGAGTAACATGCTGCCCGTGTCCTTACGCGTCTAAAATGTCTTTATTGGGGGCTGCCACTGGGATTCTAGTTGGACTGGGTACATGATTCCAGGTAAAAACCAGGGCCCCACGGTGCCTGGGCACCTGCAGAGTGGGGGAGCCAGGGCAAGGGCACAAGGACGCGGAGGTGCAGCTTGAGGGGCTCACGGACGGCGCTGGAGCCTGGGCTTGGGAGCAGGGGCAGGCGATCGTGAGTTTGGACCAGAGGGGCCTGCAGGGCGTCCACTAACGGGGTGCCCCATCCACGCCCGCTGCCTACTCCCCCTGGGCTCACGGAGGACGGAGGGAGTGCTGTGAACAGGAGCCCGCCTGGGTCCCTGGGCCGCGCAGGCAGGACCCTCTGCATCTCTGGACAAGGCACCAGCCTCTGGCCCCTGCTCAGCCCTGATGGTGACCCAGGCTGTGCACTGGGTTCTCGGGGTGCCCACCCCAGGTCAGGCAAGCGTCTGAGTCAGGCCACAGTGGAGGCCTTCTTGGAGGCATGGGCCTGAGGAGGAGGCCACTGGGGACCCCCAACCCTCCAGGAGACTCAGGCCCGGGGCAGATGCACCTCTGGTGGGGACATGCTGTCCATGACAGCGTTACCAGGAAGGACTCGACTCCAGCCACAGGCCGAGGCTGGCAGGAGGCTCCAGTCCCCCAGCTGGCTGCCTGCCGCCGGAGAGGCAGTGATGGCCGGTGGCGTGCGGCGGCCACTGCAGCCCTGAGGGAACGCTGTGTGACTGGAGCCAGCCTGGCGCCTGCCTCAGCTCCCAGTTCCCAAACTCGTCTGGTAGGCGACTCCAGTTGGCCGTGAGGGGTGGCCGACCCCCAGACTGCATGGCGAGGCCGGGCCCCTCGTCTCCCCGAGGCCCTCGGCTGCGTCCCAGGCGGCCTGAGTCCCCGAGTCAGTAGTAAGCCCCGAACAGAGCGGCCACCTTCTGGAGGATGGCCTTGTGGTTGGCACACAGTGGGATGCGCTTGTCCACAACCTGCCATCGGATGGACATCGCTGGGTCGCAGGCCTGCAGGTGCTGCAACAACAAGGCACATCCTGACCCGGGTGCTGCCGCCTCCCCCACACGCCGGGACGTCACCGTGATCCCCGTCTCCGGCCCTTGTTACTGAGGGGAGCAAAAATACCTACTTTGGGCCCAACTCAGAAAACGCCTGCAGAGTCCTGAAAGTCCTCAAGTGAGAACAGGGCAGGTACCTTATTCTGGGGTGGTCTATCCTGCAAATACGCCCGGGTTTGCTCCTGGCACCTCTAGGTCCTAGTTCTGGATTAGGGACATGTAGGATTGAGCTAAGGACAGGGGACAGTATCCCCATCGAGGTGTATAAACCGGCTTCCCCAACGCGGGCCTGGGGGCCCCAGGAGGACGCCATCTCAGGACCCTGGCCGGCTCTGGCCCTGGCCCAGGCGCCCATCAGCCCCTCCCTGCAGGCCCCGCATCCCCCCCTCCCCGGAGCCTGCACCCCGAACCCCATACCGAGTTCAGCCTCTTCAGCTCCACGTCACTCTGGTCTGGGAAGTGAACGCTGACAGCCACCGTCTCGATCCAGGCGTTGTCCGTGTTCCGAGGGTCGTCCACGTAGCCTTTGTACACCTGGGAGGCAGTGCAGGGGGAGCCAGTCCACCCAACGGGCCCAGGGCTCTGCTGGCTTCTTCCCAGGGCAAGGGCCCTCACTGTCCCCAAGCTGTCCCGCCTGGGACGCCCTGAGCACAGCTGCCCCCGGCACCCAAGCTCCTGGCCTGGCTCTCTCCCTGCCTGTCCAGCTGCTCCCCCACACAGCCTTCAGCCTTGACCATCACACTGTGGGGACCCCCGGGCTGACTCAGCTCCCTCCTGGCCTCGGGCCTGACACCCAGACCCTCCTGGACGGTCCGTGGAGGGATTAAAAATGATGGCAGGCCTTGAAAACATCACAGTAAGTCAAGACGCCAGACACCAAAGGCCACACGCTGTGTGCGCCACTTCACAGAACCGACCAGAACAGGCACATCCAGGGACGGAAAGCAGACGAGGGACGGCCGGGGGCTGGAGGCGGGGAAGGAAGCCACCGCTGATGAGGTGTGGGGTCTCCTTTCGGAGGGATGGAAATGTTTTGGAATTCGACAGAGGTCACGGTCACACAACACTGTCAACGTACTAAATGCCACCACCGACCTGTTTGCTTTAAAATGGCTAATTTTATGCGGTTTGGACATCACCTCAATAGATAAACTAATTTTTTTTACAACGTAAGCAAAAGGGAGATGGCAGTGTCCCAGAGGGACAAACCATGTGGACCTGCCGGTTTTGTGGTCAAAACCATAAGTACCAGCAACCCCTATTTCATCCCTACCGGCGGCAGAAACAGGACTGGCGACCATTTAGATGTCACCTAGAGGACTATTTAAACAAACTGTGGCACAAAATAGATACAGTATCAAAACGTTATGCAGTCATGAAAAAAAGTAAGGGAAATTTGTAACAAAGGACCTAAAAATATGACCACCGCAAGGTGCGGAACGAGGCCACGCAGCCCGCTCACGGAAGGAGCATGTGGTCCTGAGTGTGACGGAAAGTGGAGGCGAAGCCCACAGGGGACCCAGAGTGTCCACAGGTGTCTGCACGCCGCACCCGGGCCTGAGGGTGGAGGTGGCTGCGGGGTTCACCGTTTAGCCGGCTGCATTTTGGATGTTCTAGCAAACACACGTCGCTTTGTGATTACGAGAGGATTCAGTAAGGCAAACTGGCCCAGCTTCCTGACTCCGACAGGGCGTGGCTAGCCCGGGCACGGGACTCCCCAAACCCCTCGGCCCTGGGAGGAGATGCTAAGGGCCCCCTGGGAGCCAGCTGTGCTCAGGGCAAGGTGAGTGTGGGAAGGAGAGGCCAGACTTAGAGAGAAGACCATCGGGACAGAGAGGAAGGCAATGATGCCTCGAGCCGCGGCCCCGTCCCCTGGTCCCAGCTCTTTCCTCCCCGAGCTGGAGATGTGGGCAGAGCGGGTCCCCACGACCCTGCTCGTCCCGCAGCCCTCACTACTAGGGCACTGCCGGGCTCAGGGCGCAGAGGGCACCTACCTCCACGCCCTGCATCAGCAGGCTCTCGAAGGACAACCAGAACTCTCTCTGGAGCACCTGCTTCAGCTTCCGGGGCAGCATCTTTCCTGGCTCCTGGGAGCCCTGCGCAGAGGGGCAGCGGGGGCGCGTCTGCAAGGCCGTCCAGGGGCCCACCGCCCCTGGCCACCTGCCTGGCACGGGCAGACCTCCAGAGCCGCAGGCCCACGAGCATCTGCCAGCCCGACCATCTCGGGGCCAGAGTGACATTGCCCAGAGCCCACTGCCCACGTCAGCCTGCTCCACAGCAGGGCTGCAGGCCCAAGGCACAGCCTTGGAGGGGTGCACACCAGCACCGCATCTCTCAGCTCCTGTAAAGTGGCCACACCCTGGCCTCAGCCCCTCCCCTCAGCCCCCTGCCCACAGCCCCTGCCCTCAGGCCCCTCCCCTTGGCCCCTGCCCTCGGCCCCTCCCCTCAGACCTCTCCCCTCAGCCCCTGCCCTCAGGCCCCTCCCCTCGGCCCCTCCCCTCAGCCCCTCCCCTCAGCCCCTGCCCTCCCCTCAGGCCCCTCCCCTCAGCCCCTGCCCTCCCCTCAGGCCCCTCCCCTCAGCCCCTCCCCTCGGCCCCTGCCCTCCCCTCAGGCCCCTCCCCTCAGCCCCTCCCCTCGGCCCCTCCCCTCAGCCCCTGCCCTCAGCCCCTCCCCTCACCCCTGCCCTCCCTCAGGCCCCTCCCCTCAGGACCCTGCCCTCAAGCCCCTCCCCTCGGCCCCTCCCCTCGGCCCCTCCCCTCGGCCCCTCCCCTCAGCCCCTGCCCTCCCCTCAGGCCCCTCCCCTCAGGCCCCTCCCCTCGGCCCCTCCCGTCAGCCCCTCCCCTCAGGCCCCTGCCCTCAGGACCCTCCCCTCAGGCCCCTGCCCTCAAGCCCCTCCCCTCGGCCCCTCCCCTCGGCCCCTCCCCTCAGCCCCTGCCCTCCCCTCAGGCCCCTCCCCTCAGGCCCCTGCCCTCAAGTCCCTCCCCTCGGCCCCTCCCCTCAGGCCCCTCCCCTCGGCCCCTCCCCTCAGGCCCCTCCCCTCGGCCCCTCCCCTCGGCCCCTGCCCTCAGCCCCTGCCCTCAGCCCCTCCCCTCAGGCCCCTGCCCTCAGCCCCTGGCCATTATCTGGAGGGAGGGTGTGTTTTTACTGTTTGTGTTTGGTCCTCAGACCCATCCCCCACCTCTGTTCCTGGCCACTCCCAAGGCCACCAGCCCCTGGGCACGGCCCCTCCCTGCCCCCACCCATTAGGGGCCCCTGTTTATTATTCAAAGTCCTTCACAGTCCATGTCATGTCCATTCTGCCTCAGACGTCTAGACACCCTCCACTGGCTGCGGCAGCCGGCACCTGTCACTCAGCAGACGCCCTCCGTGCCCAGAGCTCAGAATGGCACCCCCTGCCCTGGGGCCACTCTGCAGGCAGAGCTGCCCAGGGCCGGGAATCCCGTGGGGCCTGAGGACCTGCAGCCAAGTACCCAGCTTTGCCACTAAGAACCAGGGACAGAGTGTGGCACGTCTAGGGCAGAGGCTGCAGGGCTGCTGCTCGGTCAGGAGGTGGATGGGTGAAGGGTGGGTGACAAGGGACAGGCAGGTGGCTTACCCCTGGCAAGGCCCAGTGTTCCGAGAGGGCGTGCTTCACCACCAGCACTTCCAGCACTTTCTTTATGCTTCTCCGGCAGATGGCTCCGTCCTGGTTTCTCCTCCACCTGCAGAGGCCACCGGCTCACACCTCCCCTCCCCCCCTCTGGGCCAGCCCACGCCACCGCCCCTCCCCCACTCTGGGCCAGCCCACGCCACCGCCCCTCCCCCACTCTGGGCCAGCCCACGCCACCGCCCCTCCCCCACTCTGGGCCAGCCCACGCCACCGCCCCTCCCCCACTCTGGGCCAGCCCACGCCACCGCCCCTCCCCCACTCTGGGCCAGCCCACGCCATTGCCCCTCCCCCACTCTGGGCCAGCCCACGCCACCACCCCTCCCCCCTCTGGGCCAGCCCAAGCCACCGCCCCTCCCCCACTCTGGGCCAGCCCAAGCCACCGCCCCTCCCCCACTCTGGGCCAGCCCAAGCCACCGCCCCTCCCCCACTCTGGGCCAGCCCACACCACTGCCCTTCCCCCTCTCTGGGCCAGCCCACGCCACCACCCCTCCCCCCTCTGGGCCAGCCCACACCACTGCCCCTCCCCCTCTCTGGGCCAGCCCACGCCACCGCCCCTCCCCCACTCTGGGCCAGCCCACGCCACCGCAGGCCCAGCCCTGTCTCCCTTCCTAAGGCCCTGCTCCAGGCCAGTGTCAGGGGCGTCCTCCCCACTCCCAGGGCCCTGGGAGGACAAGAACTTTGGGAGGACATTGTTTAGGGACCTGGCGGGTCTTGCATATTTTCAGTTTGTCTGTGGTCTCGGGCCCCTGGTTACTTTGTCCCCCTTCCCACAGGGCTCTAAGGGAGGGGAACCCTCAGGGAAGTGAGGGGAGCTTCTATGGGGATGGGGAACGGGCCTGGGCTTTCTCAGGGGCCCGGACATCCCCGCCCTGTGTTTCGGGTGCAGCATGTTTACCCAGGTCCTGCCATGAGGCTGCCATCACGCACCAAGTAACGGGCTCTCTGGGCGCACGGGGAAGGGCTGAGCAGTGGCCCCGTGGCGGAGGGTGACTGTGCTCTCACCACGGCGTACTCACCGGGTGACCACGGGCTGCAGCGTGTGGTTGGGTCCGAAGCAGCTGAGGCCCCCGCGCCCTCGCAGCCCTGTGCGGCCCATGGGGTTCCTGGGGTGGACGGGGGTCTGCTCAGCCTGCCGTCTGCCATTGGGAGAACCAGTCCACGGGACCCCAAGGGGTGAGGCAGGGGCTTCAGGTCACATGGAGTCAGTTGGAAAAGAAAAGGGTGTCCTTGGGGGCAAGAGCCCGGCCCCCCTGTAGACTCATAGGGCGTTGAAGTGGTCTTCCTGTCCCCAGAGAGTGCGGGACAACCCATCGGGCCACAGGCACGTGTGTGAGCAGGGAAGGGGCAGGGGGGTTCAAGGCCGAGCACCCAGAGGCATCCGATGGCTGTGGCCACAGACAAGGAAGGAGTCACCAGCTCGGAGCCCACCTGGGGAGACCAGGCCCAGCACATGGGCTGGCTCTGCTCCCCAGCCCAGGACACTTACACGGGGACCAAGTTTCCTGCCTGGCGGGATGTCACCCTGCCAGGTCCTCTTAGAAACAACAAACTCGGGACACGGGGTGGGTTCGTCATCCACGTCTGGCCTGCTGTCCCAGCCCACGAGTCTAGCCCATCCTCTGGATCCTGGCATATCTCTTCCAGAACATTCTGAAGAGGCCGGTCATCACCTCCTCCCTCAGGCTCCTGCTCTGCCTACTCCGTGGGGCTCCCCATGCCCCCGGCCATCTGTCGTTATCCTGATTCTCCCTCCAGCCCCTCCCTCCTCCTCGGGCCCCAGGCAGGAGGCTCCTTGACCCCAGGAGCCCCAGGCTGGCACATGGCAGCCATCACCAAAGGTCTGCTGCCTGATTTGCCAACGAGGAAACCTGACCCCAGAAGCAAAACCTCCAAGGCCCCAGTGAGGGCCGGGCCACGTGGACAGAGACAGGGGCCGTACTCACAGAGGAAACCCGTCCTCAACCTTGTAGTTGCCGTGGAAACTCCGGCGGTCCAGGGGTCCGTCCACTGCGTTGTAGGAGACCCTGGACAGAGGGTCCAGGGCGCTAGGGGAGAGGAGCCATCAGTCCCGTCAGAGAGGGCGGGGCAGAGCGCCGCCAGACCACGCCCCCGAAACACTGGGCAGAGGCGGCACCCCCAGCCACACCATGCCCCCCGCCCAGCGTGTCCCCAGCCCTTGGAGATGACAGAGAAGCCCATGCAGGCAGCAAGCCGACCCCAGCCTTAAGTGTGTTCCCGGCAGTCACTCTGGAGCACCCCCAGTCCCTCGCCCTCCCACCCCGAGGTGTGAGAAGGGGTCAGAGGGTCGAGAAGGAGCACACTCACTTCCCCACGGGGTCCACTAAGTCCTTGTCCTTCCTCTCCACGGAGTAAAAGGGCGGGTCATAGATGAGAAACTCCGTCTGCACAAAACAGTGTCTCCCCTCAGACTGCCACCCCCCAAATTCAGGCCCCGGCCCCCAGACGACTGTGGCAGTGACGTCTGCCCCGAGTGCTCACAGCCCCGGACCCGAGATCACCCCGAGGCACACAGAGGTGCTGAGCTGGGGAAAACCTGGGGGCTTGCCACACGGGGACCCAAGCCCAGGGGCTGGCGACAGAACTGGAGGTCTAGGGGAGTCTCCCCAGGCTGGGGGCGGGGTGTCTAGCTGAACTTGAGAGGTGAGGGTTCCGACGGGCAGAACTGGGAGAGGCAACGGAAACAGCCCGAAATATTCCGAAAGGCCAGAGACAAAGCCTGCGGGGCTGGGGTGGATGGCATGACCTATGTCTGCCTGTCTGTCTGTCTGCCTGCCTGCCTGCCTGCCTGCCTCTCTCCCCCCGATGCTTTCACTCACCTGACACTCTGAAAAGGGGGCACTGAGCATGCACTGGGGACAATGGGACCTAGGATAATTGGCGACCAGAGGTGATGGGCAATCGGCTCTCCGGGTGGACCAGAGGCCCACTGGGCACCCCAGGCCGGTCTCAGCTCCCCCACCTCCAGCTGTGTGGACCTGCACGCCTCAGGGTCCTCACTGGCCCTACGTCCCTGTGAGGCTGCAGGGGCCACCGTCCACGGCGCCCAGCTAGGTCAGAGGGTTCGGGGCAAGGCAGCTCCCTCCCAGAACACTGGCCACCCCAGGCTGGTGAGGGCGTGGCCAGGACAGACACTCACCTCCCAGGGCACCTTCTCGTTGGGCACGGGGAAACGCATGATGGGGGAGTTGGGGTACAGGAGGTGCCGGGCATTCACGTGGTGGGTGTCACCCAGATCCTCTGCCTTTTGCCTGCTGTCCAGCTCAGGGTCCTGCCCCTCTGGGACCTTCTGGGGTACTGGGGACAGCCACATAAGCATGGGTACAGCTGGCCAGGCTTAGGCATCTGGCTTAGAAGATGGGGTACGCTCTATAGTCCTTTCCCCAAATTGGGCTGCCTCCCCGCCCCCAGCCCAGGTTGAATGAGCCCTGAAGGGGCAGCCTCCCTGAGGCCCCCAGCACTGGGCCCTCGGAGGACAAGGACCTGGGGTCAGGCAGCCTCCCCCCAGCCCCCTGTGCAGCTACTAGCAGAGGCTTGGTAACCAGCCAGACTCAGGCCTCAGGAAACCTGTCCCACCAGGGAGACACCTCTGCTCCTTTGGGGCCGGCAGCCACCAGGAGGATTCCTCGTGCCCAGTTCCTGGCTGGTCACAAAGCCAGGAACAGAGACTCCGCTTTCTGCCCCCAGTTCACGTGCCTGGGTCTCAGCTCCCTCCTGGAGCCGCTCCCTCTGCAGATGGACGCACGGGAGGGGGACGGGCCTCTGGGCCAGGCCCCCCAACAAGTCCCCAGCCTGGTCAAGCCAGAGGGGACTGGGCAGCCCTGGCACTTGTGTGGCAGCCGCCTGCAGCCCAGTGAGATCTGCCGGTGCCCTCCTCCCACAGGCCCCAGCCTCCAGGGAACACAACCGCCGCTCACCTAGGGTGGGGGCGCCCTCCTCCGAGCCAAAGCGGCCACCTCTCAGGGTCTTCACGATCCAGTGCAGGGCTCTCGTCGTCTGGGCCATCTGGAAGGCGGGCCCCAGACAGGATTCGGTCAGCACCTGCCCGCACGGCAGGCCCACCCCACGGCCGCCTGCTCCCCGGGCAGCCCCGGAGACCAGCAGGTCTGCGGCAGGAGGGCCGAGGGCAGCCGGGGCTGCAGGGATCCCCCTAGTCCCTCCCAGGCTCTGGCATGGAGGACAGCAGCCGACTCAGAGGACAGTCGGAAGAGGACAAAGGAGGGGACAGGCGTTTGCCCCTCAGACCGGCACGCGGGGCCACCTCGCAGTGCAGTGTCCCTGAGCTCAGCGGGGGACTCGGGGATTTTTCGGAGGATAAAGAAGGCACCTCTTCCCATTAGGAACAGGTGCCCGACCATCCCCACCTCCTCCTCTTGCTTGTTTCCCCGTGTGCTCGTTCTCAAAGCCACCGCACTGCAGAGGGACCAGCAAGGCCCATCCGGTCTGTGCCCCAGAAATGCAGGCCCTGGCCCGAAACCCACCTGCTCCTCCAGGGAAGCCAATCTCTGCTCCATGGAGCCCGAGCCCTTCAGACGGTCCATTTCCAGCAGGTCCACCATGGTGTCCACCCTGAAAGAATGCGCAGCTGAGCCCGGCAGGCCAGCCTGGGGCCTGGACGGTGAGGAACCCCGGGCCCAGCTTGCAGGCGGGGGGCCTGACCAGCTTCCACAGCCCAGGCTCTGTCCGCCTTCACTTCGGGCACCTTCCTCTTAATTTGAAAGTGTTTATGGTACATTTCTGTACAGACGGAACACTGCCTCGTGCCCACGGAGGGAGGCCTCTTAGCCAGCAGATGCCCAAGAGCATCCAGGTGAGAGGCAGGTGTGCGGTGCACACACACCTGAGCCCCTCACCTGGATCTGCCATGAGCTCCAGAACCTAAGTCACAAACAACAAAGCTACCAACGGGCACCACTGGGGTTGCAGGGAGGGGGCAGCGCTGTCGTTTTGGGAGTGATGGCTTGGATTCTGTCTT